GGGGGGGGGGGTGGTGGTGGTGCTGCAGTATTCCTTTGTGAGGGGATGGTGCTGCAGGTATACCTGTTGGAAATTAATGAGGGGAGCTCTAAAGCTGTATATTTAGTAAGGCCATAAATTGTCACCAAATCAAAGAATATCGGCCACTAAACCATAAATTACTATGAAAATGACTGGACTAACCAGAGGATGTGGTTCAAATTTGAATCACCCGTGATATTCAGCCTGGTACAGGACAGTACAAACGTCGGTTATATCAATCCCCTCTCCCTCCCCTCTCAAAGGGAAACCTGATTTCAGGGATTTTTTCACCTTTCATAAACTTACCATTGTTCATCTTCATTCTGAATTATACTAGACTAAAACTGAGATCAATAAATCTACGCCATGCAAACAAAACTTGCAACGTGCGATGCACATCAGTCTGCTTAGTGACTGACATAGCAAATCCCTGCATGGTAGAGATACGCACTGTATCCTTTAGCTAACGCCTACACACCTACGAAGGCACTTTGCTCGATCGCTTCCTTAATCTCTGGAAATAGGTCCTCAAAGTTGTTCCGCACAACTTCGACCATCATCAACCAGGCGAATCACAATGGAACTGTAAAGACTGGTTGCTAATTCGAAGAGACCCGTATCACGTGACGAAGGTTTCGTTTTCCCGCTAAATTTCAAGATGGCGCCCGTAGCATTCTCGTTCGTGGTTCGCTTCAGCTCCGAGGTTTTTCACAAAAANAATAATCCAAGGTTACTACCAGTTTTCAATTCTGCAAATTTTACATTGAAATTATATTTCTACGCTATATATTCCGCAGTTTAAATACGCGAATTCCATACCTTCTATTTCAAAGGGATAGTGTATGTTGGTCACTCTTTATTTACACCCAATGTTTTCAGGTAACTGTGGTTCTGCCTTCATTGAGGTCTTAGTGAGAAACTCTATGTGGCCTCAGGACAAGCCCTTTGTCACTTTATTGCCATCAGCCATGCTAATGAATCCTGTTGAATGTAAAAACTGGACCAAGACACACACCGTTCGAATGTTTAACCACAGTATGTATTGTAAAGGAGTGCAAGGAGTGTATGTTTGGTAGCTTTATTGTCAAGTGTTTTTTTTAATCTGTCTTCCTTACATGACTTGCTGCCACCATTATGTTTGACTCTGGAAGCTCAGAAAGGCTTTCTGAGATAACTAATTTATGACATCAATGAGCAATCAATGGGTACTCAATGGGTAATCAATTGATTAGTTTTTGACTATTGCTGATCAGTGAGCAAGGCTGCTGGTCTCAGAAAAAGTATGAGGAGCCCAGAGGTTCCTAACCATGAAATCCAGGGTGCCCAGCACTTAAGCCTATAAAGAAAGTAAGTTTCCAGTCGCCCAAAGGCAAAAGTTAGTTGCCTGTGGCAATCAATGAATAATTGATAGATCACGGAATTTTCAGCCATCAATTAATCATTTAGTGCATTGAATAGTCATTGATTACATTGATTAGTCATTGATGACATTGATATAATCTTGTGGCTATGTTGTAGGTCAAAATGAAATTCAGGTTAAAGTGATTTTAACCTAGTTTGATTCCCACTTTCCTTTATTTTCTAACCCTAATTATTCATGATCCATGAATAATTAGGGTTAAGAGACAAAGGAATTTAATTTTAAGCTGAATTTCATTTTCTACAATAGCTACACAAGCCATGCCAAATCAAAAATAGAGAAATAAACACTTAATGATGAGAATAATATTTACCCAGGAGAGTTAATCAATGATATTAAAGGAAAATGAAACACTTCTTTTGCAGATGCATTTTCCNTTGATTCCTGATTACATCAATTGCAAATATTTTGCCGGCAAGCCCATGGCGCCCAAAAATTTTGGTTTCTGTTTCGCTGTGAAGGAAAAATTTTATTGAAACTTTTTGGCGACCACATTTTTCCATATGGCGACTGAAAAAAAAATTTCAGTCGCCAGTTGGCGCCTGCCTTAAAAAGTTAATTTCGGACCCTGGTGTGATAAAAATAATTTCCTTATGCAAATAAACAAGAAGCCCTCAGTCACTCTAGGTCTCTGTGGTCACTTTAGCTACATGTCAGTAAGCCCCATGGAGGGTCAGTTAGTACATTCGGTGATTTACAAGTTGTTCATGTCATTTTGAGGAAAGCTTAGGTTGAGAACCAAGCTTTATTTAACTCGATTTAAACATACTTGTAAAATTTCTTTTGTCATTAGCTTGTTGTTAACTGACTTATGTTTATACATGTATTTATAGGAGTTTAGAAAAAGGTAGCCCTGAGAGTCCACTCAACAGAGCAGGGAAAATGTTACAAGCTGCTCTAGATAGCAGATCACCCACAACCTCTAGAATCAGGCCCAGGAACAAAAGATCTTCTCAGTCATCATCAGAGATTTCATCTAGTCCTGAAAGTCCTTATGGCAGGAGATACTGTCAGTCACCCAGTGAAGGTTAGTTTAATTGTTTTGCATAACACTAAGAAGAAGAAAAAGAAGAAAAAGAATGAGTTGGTTCAAATTAAACAAATAAAAAGTCAATGTAAGAATAAAAGCGTGCAAATTGCATCAGTAAATGCCTAGACTGTGACCAGTCTCTCTTTGCTCAAAGATCCATGATGGTAGAAACACAAGCGAAAAGAGGGAAGTGGCAAAACTGCAAGCTGTGATTATCACCTCCTCTCGATTGTTTGCATTCCTTCCCTTGCAGATCTTTGAGTACAAGAGAGACTGTTTGCAGTCTAGTTAAGTCCTTATTTGAATTAATGACCAGAGGTACCCATGACTAGACCCAGAAAAAACATTTTGAATGGATATTGTTAATCACAGTCAATTATTGACTCTGACAGACAATGAATCCACCTGTAGGAACTAAGATTTTTCAGGTTTCAGATCATAAAAAGTCTTGGATAGATGTGGTATCTATGGTCCATTTAGGCCATTTAGGTTCTTGAGGCAAGATAGGTTCTTACTTTCGTAAATGGAGAAGGTGCGTGTTGCTTGTCCAAATAGGTATGGTCCTTTTTATAAGAAACATGTTAGTATGTGTAAAATGCTTATACAGTAAACACCCTATTCTTACTGACCTTTTCAATGATCTATTCCTGTAGTTTCTTCATGTAAAACCCACTTCCCATTTATGCTTTGTTCAGATAAAAACCAGTTTCATCAACAAGTTATGTACTTCTAGTAGGATCATGTGTACTAAAGTCATCCACTGTTGAGTGTCAATCAAGCCCTGATGAGATTGACCCTCGATCAACACTTGATTGACACTTGATCGACACTTGATCGATACTCTATCGACATGTCTGTCGGCAGTTGAATAATTTTTGCAGATAAACCATCAAGTGTCGATCGATACATATGAGTTGGTGGACACTCAGCCATATGTTGGCCGACACTCAATTGAGTGTCGATTGAGATGTTGCTCAAGTATTGATCAAGATTGATCGAGTGTTGATCGAAGGTGATCAAGGACATTGATTGACACTCGACTGCAGATGCATGTAGTACACGATACATGTAGTGAGGGTTTAAGTGCCAAGAGTTTGCGTTTTTACTATATTTGAATATCAGTCTAGTTAATGTAGCTGTTTCTTGACACTGTTGTAAACTGATAAATGCTCCTACAAGTAAACGTTTCCGTTCTATAATAATTATAGGCCCGAAAGAAAAGAAGAACAAACAAGAGAGCAAATGGAGCCTTGCTGGGGATGTAAGAATACCTCTGCCATAAGTAGTTATAGCTTATGTGAAAAACTATTCAAAGAAAGAAGTATGTTATGTATAACATGAATTTTATAAGTTGTGCTTACTGGTATTAGTGCCAGTTTTCAGTTTATGCTAAAAAAAAGACATTAAAAAGAGATTGTTTGCATGTTTTTGTTACCTTTACGTCTTTCAGAACTCAAAATTAACTGCATTCTATATCTTGTTCTAACAGATTCGTGATGAAGTTGCATTATTTCTAGAGGAAATTGATTTCACCAAGATTGATCTTCAAAAGTTTACATTTGGAGGTAATTTCTATCTGTGCCTTGGTGAAGTTGAGGGAGACTTATTTTAATTTATGATAAGTGCATGTACCATGGATTCTAGAGTGAGAGGTCAAGGTTTGAGTCCTGTCTGGGGTAATATTGTTAGTAAACTTTGTTTTGTTTCTACAGACTTGAGGAGCCAAATGGAAGCACAGCGAGGTTGTTCTCTTACAAAAGCAGAGAAAAGAGTATTTCTTCAGGTAATAGTCAGTTAGCCTTCCAAAACAACATTTTCTTATACAACTATGAATCTTGAAGAATAGAAAGTTGTGGTATTCTCAGTTTAAATTTGTGTCATTTTTTACAGATGACTAAAGCTGCCATTGAGAAATCCGTGCCACCTACCTCTGATAGCGATGATCAAGAGGTACAATATAAATAATTGCTTCTGATTTGCCAAAATTTTCTAAAATAAGGACAGCACCTAAACACCTTTGATTTCAAAACAAGGCATGTTTCACAACTGAAATTCAAAATGGTTGTTGAACAACTGGAACATGCCATTTTAAAATCAAATGTGTCACACTTTCTAGGAATTATGCACATTGCCATATCTTTAAGAATTCACTGAATATCTGGAAAAAGCATGCAAATATTCTGCCTGAAGTTTAGTGCAATAACTGTTAGTATTTCAGACTTCGAGACAAGGAAGATGAAGTAAATACATTTGTCTGTGCATATAAAAATAGTTCAGAATTTTGTCAAAGCAATTGGTGAAGCTGTAATAAGTTTTGCAATTTAAGGTTTGCCTCTGGTTAAAACTATATTTCAGGATGTTCTAGAATTATCTGCGAACAAATGTGATGTCAGTCCAACTGTTGCAAAGACTAAAAATCCTAACAGAACAAACAAAAAGACCAATGAAAGGTTTGTTGACTCAATGTACAACTTTAATTTTGCATCAATTTCTTTGTCCCCTTTCCAACTTATAATTGAGAATTATTGTTTTCTGATGTAGCAGTAGTAAAACACTCAATTCTAAGGAGAAAACCCCTTCAAGTGCTAAGCAAAGTCCACCACTGCCTTCTACAACAACTGCATCTACACCTGAAAACAAAAACTACAGAAGAAAGAAATCTTCAATAGTCCTTGATGACGAAATATTCAAGGTGGACCTCCCCTCGGCTTCATCAAGTATTCCTGTCGATGATGACACTGACGATCTCCCCTCCATGTTATACTCTTCTGAAGACAACATACCAGCCAGGCAAGAGTTCTGTTATGGCAGAGACTATCAGTCATCGCCTATCAAGAACAATTCATCAGATTCCATGGTAGAATGTCCAATCTGCAGCAAGTTCTTTCCAACAGCTGAAGTGGAATTCCATGCTGCCTTGTGTGTCAATGAAACAGATCCTACACCAAGCATGGCAGCACCCGAGGATGACTTGATGCCATGCCCGATTTGCTCTAGATTGTTTTCTTTGGCTCAGATAGAGCAACATGCAGATGAGTGTGTTGAGACAAGCATAAGTGAAGGTAGCAATAACTTAGAGAGAGAGGGGATAACCATTTGATTAGATCTACAACGATTACATGTATAAATCACTTACCTGTGTATAAATTATTAGCATGAGAAGATTTGAAGTTATTTTAATTTTTTTTCCACAAATCTTGTACCTCAAATTTCATGGTAGAAAAAAAATATATTTTTAAAATTTCACCGACATTGGACTGGGAGAGAAATGAGAAAACTAATGAAGTAATATATCTTAAAAGTGCTCGGTATTGGATCCAAGTTCAGCAATTAGACATTTTTAAGCACTTTTTTAGAAAAGAAACTTTTGTTTAGTGTAGTAATGTAAGTTTATCACTTGCAGCTATTATAAAGGTGTATTAGTGTGCAGCTGAAGTCATTACAATACTATAGCACTAGCCAACCCTGGATGTAATATTTGGTTTGGAATTATATTATCCATCAGAAATCAAACGTTGTACTAATGGCTAGTTTTCACCCTCCACCAATTGCTGGACTCCCAATTTCTTTGTTTCTTTTCAAACTAACATTGAAAATTGCCTAGCCTAAACGTCTGTTGTAGCTGTATGGAAAATGTTGCGTTTTTCAGGGCTTATATCTGGAATATCTACAGACAAATGGTCCTTATTTTATGACAAGGGGCTTACAAGTGGTTTCCAAAGTTCTTTCAAGTTCTCTTGAATGTTAAAGAGAACTTATTATGTTTCAAAAGAGTTGGGTGTGCTTTCAGCCATTCAGACTGCACATTTTCTCTGACCAATCATCTCACCTAACTCATGGAATATAGATTCATGGGAAATTATAACATTTAATGTCCTTCATTGACCATGGTACCTTAGTTGCCTCTACCTTGATTAAAAACACCAAATAGTAGAGGGCTTATCATCTACACTGTTCAGTGAAAATACATTTATCTTATTTACCAACCAAGGCTGGCAAATAGTTTTTTCGCTACGGTATTGCTTTGAAAGCAACTATTGTGTTGAATTTCAATTAAAGCTGTTTGGTCCAAATCTGGCACAAAAAGCAGTACTGATTGCAGAATTTGTTATTAGAATCCATAATTGTTTGACTCTATGTTGAATGTCTTGCAGTGTATTCAAAGCCTTGAAAAGTTGCCAAAGTTGGAATTTCAGAATAGTCCCAACTCGGGGTTCGGATGGGAAAATCCAGATAGCTTGTGCACATGCGATTAGCCAATCAGATTTAAGGATTAAAGTGCCTATGAAGTAAAAAATAATTGCTGCTTATTTGAAAGGCTTTTCAAAGTAAAGAAGAATGGCGTTTCCCTTTTTGGAATATCTTTTTTCGTTCGAGAGATATTTACGTTTTTGTATTATGCAAATGAGGAAAGTGATGACGTCATAGGTGGTTCCACTTGAACAGTAAAACACTGAATCAAGAATATCTCCAGGAATATTGGAGCAGTGTTCTTCAAACTTGGCACCACAAATGTGCATCACAAAAGAAACAGAATGCCACCTTCTGTGTTGTTGCCATGGCAACACTTTTGGCTCCAGTCTCTTTCTGTGAAAAACCAAATATGCCAATTTGCAACCCTTCGAAAAGGGACAGAGGGTCTTGCCTGGAACACATATGATTCCCATATTGTCTTAACTCTCCCCATTAGATTGTTGGGAGTGGATGATCCTTGTTTAAGATAAAATCTCGTAATGTTAGTTTTAATTAAAACAGGACCAGCGGCATAACTGTTGTCATGGCGACGACATGATGGGTGCCATTTTGCTTCTTTTGTGATGTACATTTCTGGTGCCAAGTTTAAAGAACACTACTTTAATATTGCTAGAGATATTCTTGATTGAGTGTTGAACTGTTTTAGTGGAACCACCTATGATGTCATCACTTATAATACGAAAACATGAATATCACTATAAAGAAAAAAGATATTTCAAAAAGGATAACGCCATTTTTCTTTACTTTGAAAAGCCTTTCAAATAAGTAGCAATTATTTTTTACTTCATAGGCACTTTAAGGATTCTGTACCATTGAGCAGCTGGAGAAAAAATAATCTTTAATATTGTGTACTTCACATCACAAGTATCTGTCCCTGCGTGCACTTAACATTTGAGTGCAACAGCCCTGTAATGTAATAAAGCACACAGAAATGTAGCCAGTGCTCTTGCTAACTGAACCTTAATTTTGAGAAATAAAACACACAAGCAGTGATTACTTGAAGCTGATTAACAAACTGTTCACAAGTAATGTCCAATATTCATATGTTTGCTTTGTCCTAGCTTATGTTGTTCATTAAAATATACAATTTGTCAAGATGCTTATAAGTTTTAAAATAACTGACAAATGTAAAGTACCATCACTTTCTACCATTGTACTGATTTCTATCCACTGTTGTTTTTTGTTTTGTTTTATTTATTTGCCTTACACGACTGTATATTAAGGTGGTAATCAGTATAATTTCTTCACCAGCTGTATAACAAACAATAACAAAAACAACTCCAAAGTTACCTGTCTTACACTCTAACAAACTGAGCAACTTGTTCAAAAATCAACTTCTTCCAAAACAGATGCTGGTACATCCACCTCATTTGTTGAGTCCCAGAAATTTGCTGGTAAAAAGCTGTCTGTTGGTATTAATTCGTCTTTGCTGATAGGTATCACTTTACAGTCAGTGAGAAGTCGAGCCACATCCTCCCAGCAAGTTAAAAGGCCACCTTCCTTGCTGGTCTTGACTTGTCCACACCTGCATGGCAGCTCATTAGATCTGCAATTTGGGCAGAGTGTATGAATTTGATATCTCCACAAAGTGACCACTACCAAATTTATATTTTGATATTAATTTTTATGTTTGGGGCAACTTAAAGATCCTGGAATGATCATTATCGCCTGGCTAATCTGAATAAGAAAACTATGTGAAAACTACATTGATGATCCCTGTTTCCTTGCAAGAACAATGTGCAAGACATGTGTTTCTGAGCTGGGGCAAAAATGATTTCAGAAACATTTTCTCGCTTATGCACTGAGAAAGATTTGCTTTTAAAAATAAGAAATAAAAGCATTTTTTCAAATACATTAGTTTTACTCAGAGACAAAGCGATAGACAAGAGAATTCTTTGTAAGATCTACCCCTCCTTACAAAATTCATACAACTCAGTCGGTCTATACTAAGGACCTACAGGTTTGATGTGCCCCTTTTGTATATGGGTTAAGGTCATTCCACTGAAATAGAACCTGCA